AATTTTAAATTAAAAAAATTTCTTCTCCTTTTTAATAATTTCATTTTTTTCTTCCCTGTCCATTTAATTTTGTTATCACTACTTTTTTTTTTTTAGTCACTTTACTTGTATATTAAATTGTGTATATTCCCAATTACTTTTTTTGCAAGTACCAAAACTATCTTTTGTAGCTAACAACCCTCATTTTTTTTACTTTTTTGTGCAAAAAACTGCTCATTTTTTTAAATATTACAAATCAGATCTTACTCCTAAACCCAATATTTTTTCATAGGCCATTGTCCATTTAATTTTTTACCTTACTTAATTTTGCCCTTATATTTTTCTCCTTTATTTTAGTTTTATAAACTACCCAGTTATCATTCACAATTGTTAAATATCAAGGTGTTTTTAGGTGCAAAAGAGAACAAGTCACAATTTTGGCATTATTTTCCCAAAGCTCATTTTTTTTAAAGACTCCCTTTCTATCATTTTCCCCAACCCCTTTTATTTATCACACTTTTTTTTGTATAGTCCCTTTTATTTTGTCTCCTTTATTTTAGTTTAAAAAAAAAAAAAAAAAAAAAAAAAAAAAAAATACCTTTACCCCATTTTTTTACATTGTTAAATTAATTCAGGGCATTTTTAGCTTAAGACTATTTACTTTGTTTTTACTTAATTCTACTATAGTTTCACTCAAATCTTATGTTTACAAGCATTGTCCAGTCCAACTTTATTTAATGACAAAAATGAATCAAACAGTTACTGTAATTACTACACTGCGAACAATCAAGGCATTTCTCATCCCAACAAAAACATAACTTCTTTAACTAAAATATCGATTTTTAAAAGCAAGCATTACGATACTCATGCATTACTAATTCCTTACATGCCAATATGTCCATCATTACACTAATGAAACCGGGCTAAAGCCTGAACTACAGATGTCTATACCTTTCCCGGGTTTTCACACCATACAAAAATGTAGGCCAGCCCAACAAGGGGGTGGCCAGCCAATATCTCGCCAACTAGAAGATCAAAACTTGCACAGGTGCGGGGGAATATAAAAATACCCAAAATTAAAACCCAAAATACTACAAAAACCTCTCACTTGAAAACACTACGAGTTCCCAGTAAAAACATTACCCAATTTAGTAAAATAGGAAGTTGATAACTATGCACCATAAAAAAGACATTACTACCTCAGGGCTTCAATAAAAATCTCCGCAAGCCCGGGACCCACACTTACGAATTCACAAACACAATGGAACGGGATTGCTCCAACAGTAACAAAACCTACAAGATTTACAGAGACTAGGTTTCCCTATTTGACCACATCTGGCCAACACCATATCCCCTTTAAAATCGGCTTAATTACAGAAAAACCACAGACCCTACCCATTTTCCTCTAACAACTTTTGGGTAAATTACCCAAACACTCAAAAATCACCTTCAGCTTCCAATGGGGCAGCCATTAATAACTTAAAACCCCATTAGCAAACATGATTGGACACTGAGCAGAAATCAAACAGATTTGCGAATGTTTTAAAAAATTTTTTCAAAAAAAACTCAATCCTCATAAAAGCACTCCCCTAAAAAACTAAGCAATGAAGCTAAGAGACGAACATCCCTGGTAACACCCGCATTTCAAATCCATAAATAAAAAAACACCAATATAAAAAAACAGTACAAAGGGGTCACTAACCGAACCAAACAAAACGTTACTCTTTCCCCAACCCCCCCTGATAAAAAAGGGCAAAAAAATTTTATGAGAACAATTACCCAAACTTACGAGGTGAAAAAAAAAGACCGGGAAAACCCCTTCAAAAATTTGGGAAAAAAAAAGATATCAGAAAAGCAAAATAAAATTAGCAAAACAATGAACCCAACCCCCCAACAGAAACAGCAAACAACCAATGATTTTTCTCCAATAGGAAAAAACCTTGCAATAAAATCCCAAAAGCTCAGAACCCCCCCAAAATGCTACCTCACCGGCAACTCCCCGAAACACTGTTCCTACCCCGACAAACCCAACAAAGTCTCCTTATTTAACGCACAAAAAAACAACAGGGATTAAATCCCTTCCACCCTTTTATACAAAAAAGTGTCACAAGTGCTTCACCAATCTTTGCAACATCTTTAACAAATCCATTGAATCCTCCCCTTCCCTACGTACTAAAAAAGAAAGGGGTACCCCGTTTCCCAAAGGAGAGCCAAAAATTTTTGAATAACTTGCCAATACCCAAAACTTACCCCTCTCTCAAAAATCTTCAAAAAAAATTAATTCTAAACGAATCTACTCCTCCCTTTCCCCCAAAAAATCTAAACCCCTGCCAATTTGGATTCGGGCCTAAAAAAAATATAGGGCTATTATAAAATCTAAAATATAACCTGCAATAAGAAAAAAAAAGTCCCATGGGGATCTTCTTGATTTACGAAAAGCTTTGATAAGTTCCCCAGGACTTCTCCACGAAAATTACACTAGGGTTAAGAGGGGCACTCCCTCAACTACCTCAAAGTCAACCCTCAGCAACAGAACCCAATATGTGTACGAAAAGGGGAAAATCTTCTGCAAACCAATTACATTTGGTGCCCACGGGGAAGTGCCCTTTGGGCCTCTTCTCTTTCTCCTATCAAAGCCTACCAAAGCTTCTAAATTACTCAAACCCACCTTTGTGATGACACACATACGTCTTCTCCCACCGACCCAGTCCGCTACCCAATACTGAAAATCCGAATTACAGAAAATTCACCGGGGATGGTATAAAAAAATTACACAAAATTGACAAAACCTACTTCTTTCAGTTTGGTAACAGAGTACAGATGCCCCTCTTAACTTTAATGATAAACGGATCACCTATACAAAGCTAAAAAGGGAAAAAATTCTTAAAAAACCCCTTGTAATAACTCAAATTTATACACAATACAACAAATTTCTAAGAAAATTCCAAGACTGTAGCATCTACAAAGATACGGACTATGCCCACTCGCCCCCCGGGCCCCTATTCACTCTTTTATTTACCCCTATTCCCCTAGGAAATTTGTGCATGGGGCTCAACAACAAAAAACCATCTCAGACCACTAATTACCCAACAAAAGGCTGATTAGAATGATAAAAAATTCTCACAAAAGGCAGCACACCCAAAATTTTCAATCCCTAAACCCCTACCATACAAAACCCATATTTTTTACTGCACCTATTACATCATAAACACTCACTTGATATTAACCCTCCCCTAAAATCCCCTTTTCCAACCTCAACAGAACACTGACCAAACACAAGGCACAGATCATCTTTATATTCCTCTGTCCATCTCACGCTATGAAAAAAACTCAATGCAAAAAAAGGGCCCCTAAAATCGGAATTCATTACTTTAAATAAAGAAAAACTACCTTTTTAAAATTAAAGTCTCTTCTCAAGATTTTTTTCCCCCAAAACCAAATAAAAAACTGAATAACTAACCCTTTAAAATTTGTATATCTTAAATGTTTCTCCCAAAATTTTAAACACTAAATGTTAAACCAAAACCCAATCTAACTTTTTATTTTTAAATTCACTACCTAACAGAATACTCCTTCTACGAATTTACAACAATGCATCACCATTGACCTTCTTTGTAATACTCATTGTGCTTTATAGTAATCATTTACATTAAAGTTTTTCCTGATTTCATCATTGCTTAGTTTCTTAAATTTTAAATTTTTAAACCCCCGTAATGCATGCATGTATAAGTGGTTGGCATTGCTCTTATCTGTTTTTTTTTTTGTACCTCTGTAAGTGTGCTCAAAATTTTAAAAAAAAAAATAAAAATAAAAGATGGCCTGGGGTGCTTTAAGGGCCTGTTGGAATCAGGGCCTCCAAAAGTTATTTGGGGGTTTTGGGGGGGTTATAGGGGCCCCCAGGGGGGTTTTGTACCCTTTGGAAAATTAGGGGGGTGGGGGGTTTTAGGGCCGAGGAGGTTATACACTAAGGGGGAAGGTTTTTAGGGGCCTGGGGGGGTTATACACGGCATGGGGGGGTTATTTTTGGTGAATGGCGAGGGTTTTAGGGCCCGGGGGGGTTTTTTGGGGGCCCGGGGGGCTATTGGGGCCTTGGAAGTTTTATAGCCTGGGGGGGTTTTTAGGCCCTGTGGAGGATAATGTGGGCCCGGGGAGGTTACGCGTGCCTGGGGAGCTTTTACAGGTTTTTTTTGAGTTATCAAGGGCCTGGGGAGGTTTTAGGTCCGGGGGAAAGGGTTTTAAGGCCTAAGGAGGTTTTACGGGCCGGGGGAAATTTTAGGGTGTGGGGAGGCTTTTTTTGGGGCCTTTAAAAATAAGTCTGCCCGAAATGCCTAGCCTGCAGGGGTTCAGTGGTACACTTGTAATTTATTATTTAACTACATTAAACCACACAACAAACCAAATTTTGTAAAATTAAATTTTGTAATTTTTATAGAGAATAAACTTTGAAATTTGAAATTTTAAATTTGATTATTATTTTTTTATAATAAGGGGGAAGCGCTAAACCCCGGGGGGATTATACAGCCTGGGGGGGGGGGGGGGGTGGAAGGATTTTAGGGTTAATTCGGGGGAACCCGGGGCACAGATCCAATTCCCTAAAACAAGAGCCCCTCACCAAAATCAGGAACCTTTTTTGAGGGGAATTTAATTTGAGGGACCCACCTCAGAGTCGGTGTCAACAGAGTTTGCCCGGGTAGGCGACTCACTTGGGGGGCGTCCACACAAATTTTCACAAGAGCCTTTTTTGTAAGAAATATACCTATACTCCTTGTTAAAAAGTTTTTATTTTTTATATAATGTGACCTGTACCTAATAACCTTTTACTTTTAAACAAAGAAATGGGGGTTTGTATTGAAAGGTAAGCTGTCATGGCCCCTACATACCCAACAACAATACTAGACGCTGTGGGGCCCCGAGGTTAGAAAAGTGTTTTTTTATCTGCAAAATCAAGACAACAGTGTTTTTTTTTTTACTTTAAAAAAAAACAAGAAAGGGTAAAATGCTGCCTTTCCGTGAAAATCTAGTTTTGGGGAAAGCGGGTCATCATTACATAAGTCTATAGAAATTGAATCCGCTGAGTGAGTAATATAATTAAAAAATTGCATACAAATCTTTGTAAAAGGGTATTTGTTTTAAATTAAAAAAACAAATTGCAGTCATAGACATTAAAGTTTCTTTTAACAGCAATTTGTTCTTTTTTCCCTTCTAACGATAGGCCACCGGAAAACAACCTTTGTTAAGTCTTCCTAGATCCCGAGTTGGCGAAGGGTTTGGATCAAAGTAATTAATAATAATAATGTAATATATTTATTTTAAAAAAGTACCCCAAGGTATACAGGCCCAGCGAATTAAAGCATACACTGTTATGCACATTTTCGGGCAAGTTAGGTCGGTTTTGTCCCCGGATGCACCCCCACCAGCACCTAACCCAAAGGGACTCCCTTACGATGGGTGAACAGGGACAGCAGGTATCTTTTGGAAACACTTCCCAAAGTTTTTAGCCCTACCCCGGGATTCAGTTCTCGGGCCCCAGTGTGTAGTGAGCCCCCGGACACCTCATGTAAATTACCAAAAAAAAACCCACAAGCAGTGACTTTGGATGAAGCTGATTATTTCCAAATGCCATTGCTCATTAAGGTTTGTGTTGCCCATTTAAAATTTAAATTTTTAACATTTTATTGACAGGGGTAGGACTTAGCTAAATTTTTTAGGGTTCTGCAATATAGAATTCAATCCTGAACTGGAGTATTTTGGGGAGAATGTATTTATTGAGTGAGAGTGTTGCCAAGATAGTTAAAAAACATTTCACTTTTTTGATCATCAAGGATGGAACTGGAGATGGGGTTAATGAACAAAAAAATAATTTTTTTATTTACAAATAATGATGCAAACCCCCTGACATCAATGAAAACAATACAAACCCCCCGGGTTTTGCAGAGCATTTGGGGAACTTTGGTTTTCTTGTCCCCCAGAATGCAATGCACATCAGTTAGCTAATACCCCTACCTAATTATGCTGGTGAACAGGGGGCGCAGGGGGTAAGGAAAACACTCCCCCTTGTTTCCCTCCTACTGGGAAACGAACCTAGAACTTTTGTGTGAGCTAGAGGGTTGTTTAGGGTGGAAAGCCCCCCATTTCATCTTAAATTTTTAGAGTGAAAAATATGGAATTTTTTGTAAACTGGGAAAAAAATTTCTGAATTCTAACTTTTTTTGGGGAAGTTGAATTTGAAGGATTTTTTGTGTTCAATTCTGAATGGGAAAACAATAAATGCAAAAATCGAAATTGGACGTTTGGGGGTCTGAAAATTGACATAAGATAACCCATAAAATGGGGTGAAAAGCAGTTTCATAAAATACCTCAGACCCTTAAAATCTGCCTGTACATTTCCTAAGTTTTCCCCTCAAATTTTTATTTTTTGGTGTCAAACCTTTAGGAATTTTTTCTCCCCCTTTTTGAAGATAATTTTTTTTTTTAAATTGCCACTGGGAGAAGTAACAACAAGAAAAGGGTTTCAATTAAAAAAACCCGCATCAACCATATCCCAAAAAAGGGTTTTAAGAGCAGTAGAATTTTTCCCACATTAAAATGTGCCTCAAAACTACTTTTTGTCCTTTAATTCTTTAATCTACCTTCATTTACCTTCTTGTGCCCGGGGAACAAATACAAAGAATTACTTTATGCAAGTCAGTGGAACCTTTTTTACGAGTTTAATACGTCCAGGGCAGCTGAAATCAGTTTTCTTGTACAGTGGACCCCGGTTTTGGCAGCCCGACTTCGCGAAAATTCGGCTTTGGCGAGTTTTTTGGGAAAAATTTTTTGGGCCCAATTTCGTGAAAAAACTCGGTTTTTTGGCAACCATCCGGTTTCCCATCCCCCGTCACCCCGCACACAAAGCGTCTCCCCCCCCATTTTACCTCATGTGCCAGTTTTCCCAAAACATCCCCACCCCCAGATTCAACAATCATTTAAATAATCCATTTTTTTTTGTGCTTTCAACGCTAAAAAAGTCATCATGGACCAAAGGGAAACAGTGCAAGCCCCTTTGGGAAATAAAGTGATGAGGGGATGTGGAAGGTTGGGGGGACCCCGGGAAGACTAACCATGACGAAGCAAGGCTTTTAACTGGAACAGCATCAACCCCGCCCCGGGGAATTGCTTCGAGGGGGGAAGAGGGGGGATGAGGGGCTTCTTCAGGTTTTGGCAGTGGGAAGAGTTGCAAAGTTTTGTTGAAAAGTATCACCCTGACCAAGTGAAAGAAGCCTATTTGCAACATGTACAATGCAGTGTTGTGTCCCACTTCAGGGGGAAATCTTTTAAAAGCACAGAAAAAGACCTTCTGGAGGAGTTTTGTGTGCAGGGGGCCAGACTCTCAAGTTTATCCCATGGGTTAAAAGAAGGGGAAATAACCCCAGATAAGGACTTTCTACCCAAGTCCCAAAGAAGGAGATTCTCCTTTCCAAACAATAGTGTAACCTTCCCCATCCCCCTCCATCTTCCATCCACCCGAAGTCTTCAGTAAAGGTAGTTAAGTTTTAATTTATTTTTAAATGCAGTACTTTGATTTTTTGTTGTTTTATTATGTAAATCTTTATTTTTAATTTTAAAAAAAATTTTAATATTTTTTGGGGGTCTGGGAAAGGATTAATTTTATTTCCATTTTTTCTTATGGGGAAAAAAGGTTTTGAGTTTCTTTTTTTCAACCTTCGGCGGGTCTCTGGAACGGATTAAACCCTTTCAGGGTCCGTCCCCTAGATCTACGGCTTTACGTTCGGGTCCAAAAACCCTAATCACGTCACGGCTCAGCTCCCTGATAAAATTGTGGTGGACATTTGGGCCTAATGTGAGAGAATACATCTTGTGGTATGTGTGCACCCAAAAACAATCCTGCAGCACATTGTTAAGAGAGAAAAAAAATGAAATCATGATTTTTTGATTAAAACAGCGGATTTTTTTCAGTGTTTTTTCGTTGTTTTTTTAATTTGATTTGCGATTTTTGGTTTTTTTGTAGAAGAAAACATTTACAGAAAAAGAGTGATTTTTATTGGTTTTTTCACTGGAAAAAGGCTTGAAAGAGCTCAAAAGTACAGAAAAGTTAAATTTTTGGGCCATATAAATAAAAAAAAAACGACCTCAAGTTAATGCACGCCAGCTGGTGGGTCTAATATGCATTCACAAAATGTTGATGATATTTAACAATTATTCGTATTTCATAACAGTAAATCTTCTATTTTTGATGTGAATAAAAAAACAATTTTTTGAATAAAAAAAAAAAATGGAATTTATTTGTAAAGCCTCAAAAGTAACTAATGAACAAGGGAAATTTAGTTTAGTTCCAGGTACCCTACATTTTTTATTCGGACCCCATTTTGAAAATTGGAATATTTTGAACTTTGTGTTTTAAATTGGCCAAATTTAAAAATTTCCGATCATTAAATTTTTAGTTTAATAGTTGACTTGGGGGATTTTTTGTGCTAATCGATGAAAGAAGTAATATGGAAATAGCTAAGAATTTGGGTTTATGGGGTAATTTAAATTTGGCCCAAATGGGAGTAAAGTTTGGCAAAATTTCCGTTCGAAAAAATCGCTGACACATCAAAATTCGCGAGAGCATAATTTCGTCAATTTTCCATCAAATTTCGTACTTTTTGTTTTATTACCTTCACAAAGAGATTCTCTACCATTTCATAAGAAAAAATAACAAATTTTTTTTTTTGAAAATTCTTGGACACTGGGGCAGCACTTCAGTTTTGGGCCTTGGACCCTGAAGGGGTTAATCACGAAACTCGGGGGTCCACTGTATATCAAATTAATTTTCCTCATTTAAATTAATTGAAAAGCCATTAATTCGTTCCTGCACTCTGGAGAGAAGAGAAAAAAATACTTGAATATGACGCTATTATCAACTGTACGACTTATCTATCACAATTCATCTAATATGACATAATAAACAATATAATTAACACACAAACATTATATATACTCTAGAATGAATAAAATAGGCCACAATATGGTGGTAGAGGCAGTGGCGGAATCATCCACCATTTCCTGTGTATATACTGAGAGTATCTTCCCATGCTCTTATTGTAAAAGAAAATGGAGTATTCTAAAGAAACCATTGAAAATATCGTATATAAACACAAATCATAATACACTACAGAATGTAAAGAAATAAACTGTTTATATAGAGTGCATATGTACTTACACACTGAACATAACTGATATAGAGTTTGTTTTGTTTAATCACTGTCAGCTGCTGCTGTTGCTGCACCACCATTAGCTGCTGCTGCACCACTGTCAGCTGCTGCTGTACCATGGTCAGCTGCTGCTGCATCACCATCAGCTGCTGCTGTACTACGGTCAGCTGTTGCTGCACCACCGTCAGCTGTACTACTCGAGATGTGGAGAGAGTGTTGTTGGTGTGGCTAAACGAGAAACAATTACCGAGAAACAATTAACCCCAGTGGGTTAGCCACCCAAGATAACCCAAGAAAGTCAGTGCATCATCGAGGATTGTCTAACTTATTTCCATTCGGGTCCTTAATCTTGTCCCCCAGGATGAGACCTACACCAGTCGACTAACACCCAGGTGAACAGGAAAAAATGCCTGGAACTAGTGCTCATATTGGCGAATTTAAGGCCAGCAAAGGTTGGTTTGAGAGATTTAAGAATCGTAGTGGCATACACAGTGGTGAAGCTGAAAAATTCCAACCCCAACAAGCGTTCAGTTGTAACAAAACAGGCCTGTTCTGGAAGAAAATGCCAAACAGGACCTACATTACTCAGGAGGAAAAGGCACTCCCAGGACACAAGCTTATGAAAGACAGGCTAACTCTCATGTTTTGTTGTAATGCTAGTGGGGATTGCAAGGTGAAGCCTTTACTCATGTATCATTCTGAAAATCCCAGAGCGTTCAAGAAAAACAGTGTCTCATCACTCATCAATACTCTTCAATAAAGGTAAGTGTCATATTAGTATTTATTTATGTAATTATTGTGCATGTCTCATTGTTTTCTTTGTAGGGAAATGTATATTTCATGTAAAAAAAAAAATTTTTTTAATACTTTTGGCTGTCTGGAATGGATTAATTGGATTTCCATTATTTCTTATGGGGAAAATTAATTCGGCTAATGATAAATTCGACTACGGACAAGCTCTCTGGAACGGATTAAAATCGTTAGTCAAGGGTCCGCTGTAGTAGATGAACTGTGCTGGTATTGTCTGGCTAAATCCACAATTTGTGCACTTTGCTTATGTTTATCTATGATTTCATGCATTAATTCCATGGAAATCATTGTCTTTTTCTTCTCAGCACTGTCCTTTGCACTTATTTTCTTAGGACCCATGGTTAGAAAAGTGAAATTTGGCTAAATGACTATCAAAACTGTAAGCAAAGCAGGAGAGAACTGCTTCGACAGTGATGTCAACGTGTACTGCCAACTAGCGGCAGCATTCTGAATTATTATACATTTTTATTATTACCTTAGTGAACTGAAGCTCTATCGTTATTGTAATAATAATAATTATTATTATTGATGATTTAGGGAACTGAAGCTCTATCATTATTATAATTATTATTATTATTATTATTATTAATTTAGGGAACTAGAGTACATCCAATTCCCTAGATCAAGAGACCCTCACCAGAGTCAAGGAACCTTGATACTGGCAAGGGGCTCTTGATCTAGGGAATTGGATATGTGCTCAAGTTCTCTAAATTAATAATAATAATAATAAAAATAAAAATAATAATAATAATAATTATTATAATAATGATAGAGCTTCAGTTCCCTAAATTATCAATAATAATAATTATTACAATAACAATAGAGCTTCAGTTCCCTAAATTAATAATAAAAATACATTATTATAACACCGAGAGCTTCAGAATGAAGTCAACTCAGTGCACTGTTTACCTAGCTGTGGGAGTGATTCTCTCCTGATTTGCTTACATTTTTACAGTCATTTGACCAAATTTCACTTTTCTAACCATGGGTCCTAAGAAAGTACGTAAGTAAAGGACATTGCTGATAAGAAAAAGAGGATGATTTTCATGGAATTAAAGCATGAAATCATAGATAAACAAGAGAGGTGTCCAGGTTTTGGGTTGAGGGGGAATGGGGGGGGGGGGGGAGGTGGCTCGTAACTCAAATGTTGGCTCGTAACTCAGAGGAAAAAATCAACCGATCGACGGCTCATATCTCAAGAAACTCATATGTTGGGACACTCGTAAGTCAAGGTTCCACTGTACTAGACAGTACATGCTAGTATCTATGTGCACTGTTGCCTTTTATTATTTATCCTTTTTCTTCATATATTTTTTCTTACTGCATAAAATATTTTCAGTGTTTAATACTCATTCCATTTCTTAATTTGTAATTTTTTATCATTGTGTTTTTCATATGGAATTTTTGGCAGCTCAGGACAACATTTTCTGGTGTGTATAGATGATTTGCATATCTCAGGATGAAAATACTCAGTCCTTATCAAAATGACACCATCCCTCTCTTAACATATTGGATCACTTTCTGGTGTGTTGGTTTACCTGGAGTTTACCTGGAGAGAGTTCCGGGGGTCAACGCCCCCGCGGCCCGGTCTGTGACCAGGCCTCCTGGTGGATCAGAGCCTGATCAACCAGGCTGTTGCTGCTGGCTGCACGCAAACCAACGTACGAGCCACAGCCCGGCTGATCCGGAACTGACTTTAGGTGCTTGTCCAGTGCCAGCTTGAAGACTGCCAGGGGTCTGTTGGTAATCCCCCTTATGTGTGCTGGGAGGCAGTTGAACAGTCTCGGGCCCCTGACACTTATTGTATGGTCTCTTAACGTGCTAGTGACCCCCTGCTTTTCATTGGGGGGATGGTGCATCGTCTGCCAAGTCTTTTGCTTTCGTAGTGAGTGATTTTCGTTGTGCAAGTTCGGTACTAGTCCCTCTAGGATTTTCCAGGTGTATATAATTATGTATCTCTCCCTCCTGCGTTCCAGGGAATACAGGTTTAGGAACCCCAAGCGCTCCCAATAATTGAGGGTGTTTTATCTCCGTTATCCGCGCCATGAAAGTTCTCTGTACATTTTCTAGGTCGGCAATTTCACCTGCCTTGAAAGGTGCTGTTAGTGTGCAGCAATATTCCAGCCTAGATAGAACAAGTGACCTGAAGAGTGTCATCATGGGCTTGGCCTCCCTAGTTTTGAAGGTTCTCATTATCCATCCTGTCATTTTTCTAGCAGATGCGATTGATACAATGTTATGGTCCTTGAAGGTGAGATCCTCCGACATGATCACTCCCAGGTCTTTGACGTTGGTGTTTCGCTCTATTTTGTGGCCAGAATTTGTTTTGTACTCTGATGAAGATTTAATTTCCTCATGTTTACCATATCTGAGTAATTGAAATTTCTCATTGTTGAACTTCATATTGTTTTCTGCAGCCCACTGAAAGATTTGGTTGATGTCTGCCTGGAGCTTTGCAGTGTCTGCAATGGAAGACACTGTCATGCAGATTCGGGTGTCATCTGCAAAGGAAGACACAGTGCTGTGGCTGACATCCTTGTCTATGTCGGATATAAGGATGAGGAACAAGATGGGAGCGAGTACTGTGCCTTGTGGAACAGAGCTTTTCACCGTAGCTGCCTCAGACTTTACTCTGTTGACGACTACTCTCTGTGTTCTGTTAGTGAGGAAATTATAGATCCATCGACCGACTTTTCCTGTTATTCCTTTAGCACGCATTTTGTGCGCTATTACGCCATGGTCACACTTGTCGAAGGCTTTTGCAAAGTCTGTGTATATTACATCTGCATTCTTTTTGTCTTCTAGTGCATTTAGGACCTTGTCGTAGTGGTCCAATAGTTGAGACAGACAGGAGCGACCTGTTCTAAACCCATGTTGCCCTGGGTTGTGTAACTGATGGGTTTCTAGATGCGTGGTGATCTTGCTTTCTTAGGACCCTTTCAAAGATTTTATGATATGGGATGTTAGTGCTATTGTCTGTAGTTCTTTGCTGTTGCTTTACTGCCCCCTTTGTGGAGTGGGGCTATGTCTGTTGTTTTTAGTAACTGTGGGACGACCCCCGTGTCCATGCTCCCTCTCCATAGGATGGAAAAGGCTCGTGATAGGGGCTTCTTGCAGTTCTTGATGAACACAGAGTTCCATGAGTCTGGCCCTGGGGCAGAGTGCATGGGCATGTCATTTATCGCCTGTTCGAAGTCATTTGGCGTCAGGATAACATCGGATAGGCTTGTGTTAATCAAATTTTGTGGCTCTCTCATTAAAAATTCATTTTGATCTTCGACTCTCAGTCTGGTTAGCGGCTTGCTAAAAACTGAGTCATATTGGGACTTGAGTAGCTCACTCATTTCCTTGCTGTCATCTGTGTAGGACCCATCTTGTTTAAGTAGGGGCCCAATACTGGACGTTGTTCTCACTTATTTTATAGTTGCAGATTTCCCTTGCATAGTACAATATTTGCATGCAGTATCTAACAGCTTGTGTGTTTTTCTGTGGCTCTTGCAGTTTTATTCACCATGGAGAGTTCTGAATCACCCTTTATGCCTTGTATGTCACTATTTTGAAGCACTATTTAGTCTAACTTAGGCTACTTTTGCAAATGTGTTCCTACCATTTCACTTGCTGTGTAATCTGTCTTTACCTCCTTTCCCACCCACAGTATTGTGATTTTTCTCATGTTTGCAGCGTGATCCGTCTGATTCAGCAATACCTCAAAGAGAACAACCTCGGACGAACTTTACGAGCATTGCAGGAGGAAACTTCAATCACACTCAATACTGTAGATTCCGTGGAGAGCTTCATGGCAGACATTAATCAGGGTCATTGGGACACTGTACTGAAGGCTATCCAAACCCTCAAACTACCTGACAAGAAACTTATTGATTTGTATGAGCAGGTATTTGGAGATGAAATAATTAGCCAGCATGAAGGCAGCAAGTCCATAACTTGTACTCATTTATTTACTTTTCAGTACTGGTATTTAGTTAGTTATATCAGTTATTTGCTTATTTACTTATTCAGTGGCACTGGATATTTACTTATTTATTAGCATATATTCTCATTGACTTGTTATATTTTCAACTTATGATGGGTTCGTCGGAATGTAAGCCCATTGTAAATTAAAGAGCACCTGTATCAGCGGATGGGTCTATGAAAGATGAGGTGAATCATAGAATTGATGAGGGGAAAAGGGTGAGCGGTGCACTTAGGAGTCTGTGGAGACAAAGAACTTTGTCCTTGGAGGCAAAGAGGGGAATGTATGAGAGTATAGTTTTACCAACGCTCTTATATGGGTGTGAAGCATGGGTGATGAATGTTGCAGCGAGGAGAAGGCTGGAGGCAGTGGAGATGTCATGTCTGAGGGCAATGTGTGGTGTGAATATAATGCAGAGAATTCGTAGTTTGGAAGTTAGGGGGAGGTGTGGGATTGCCAAAACTGTTGTCCAGAGGGCTGAGGAAGGGTTGTTGAGGTGGTTCGGACATGTAGAGAGAGTGGAGCAAAACAGAATGACTTCAAGAGTGTATCAGTCTGTAGTGGAAGGAAGGCGGGGTAGGGGTCGGCCTAGGAAAGGTTGGAGAGAGGGGGTAAAGGAGGTTTTGTGTGCGAGGGGCTTGGACTTCCAGCGGGCATGTGTGAGTGTGTTTGATAGGAGTGAATGGAGACAAATGGTTTTTAATACTTGATGTGCTGTTGGAGTGTGAGCAAAGTAACATTTATGAAGGGATTCAGGGAAACCGGCAGGCCGGACTTGAGTCCTGGAGATGGGAAGTACAGTGCCTGCAGTGTTGCAGTTTAAAAACTGTAGTGTAAAAGCACCCTTCTGGCAAGACAGTGATGGAGTGATTGATTGTGAAAGTTTTTTTCTTTTTCGGGCCACCCTGCCTTGGTGGGAATCGGCCAGTGTGTTAATAAAAAAAAATAATTAAACCACAGTATATATGGTAAATTTTTTACCTTCCCCTTCCTTGGGTCAAACCTGATTGCCTCCAATTTCCCAAGTGATGTATGGCCTCACTGGTGTTATTACTTCCCTATGAATGTAATATAATAATTTGCATAAGTATATTTCACTGTTTTCCTTGGTGGATATAAATCTTTTGAATATCCCTGGGCTAATAATTACTATCTTCTTTTCTTTGTTAATGAGCTTATTTAAGGAAAAAAATTCTTATGAGCTACTTATCAACAGGTTGTTCTTGAGTTAATTGAGCTGCGAGAACTAGGAGCAGCTAAGTCTGTCCTTCGCAACACTGATCCTCTCATAATGCTCAAACAAACTCTACCAGAAAGGTAATGCAATATTTAATTCTGTTATTCCCTTTGTTTTTAAAATGAGTGCAGTTTTCTGATTTAACCTTTTCACTGTCCATCACATAGAACTCCTGATGTAGTTCTACTTCATGAATGCAGCTCACTTGGATAAACTGAGAGTGATAAATTTTGGCCTAGATAAGAGAGAATGGGTCTGTGCAAAGAGTGTGCACTATAAAAAAAATCATGCCCAATGCAGTGCATGATGGGGAAAAAAAAATTCATAATTAAAATTTACCACTCCATAACCTATGTCTAGTTTCAAGTACAGCCTCTCCTCACTTAACGATGGGGTCCTGTTCCTAAGAGTAGGTCGGTAAGCGAATTGGTCATTAAGCGAGGAACATACTACACTGATAGTGGGTTTGTGTCAACCATCTTTAGATGTTTTTTTAATGTCACCTTTGCACCATTTATAACATTTCTGGTATATTTTTTTAATGTTTATACAGTAGTTTACTGTATACTGTAATTAACAGAATAGAGGAAATCAGCTCTAATATACATCATTTAGGTTTGCATACTGGTTGGAGAGTTGATCATAAGTCCAAGTGGTCAGTAAACAAGTACGTAATTGAATCATTGTTTTCACAAAAAGCATTTTTTGAATATATGAATATATCTTTTGTCTTATATAAATTAGATTCACTTATAATTAATAATCTACTGTACAACTATGATATAATTAATATTCTACTGTACAACTATGACATAATTCTTAGTGTTAAGTAGTCTGTAATCCAATAATGTTAAGTCGGTCCATAATGCCTAAGCATAATAGAGGCTCTCTTTGCATTGCAACCCATTATTGTAAATACAAACTTTCAATGTACTATTTGCAAAGACATAAATAAATAAGTGAGGAGAGACTGTAATCATTAAGATTAGTCTGCCTGAAATGTTCATGCATGCTAGTGGCTTTCTTTGTGCTTAATGGTATTTTATTACATGTAAACAACACAGAAATAAAAATATAGATTTTCTTGGACCTTATGTATGGTTTAACCTCTAAACTGTGCAAACGTAGATCTGCGTTCTCTCGCCAAGTGATCAAAATATTTAAAAAAAAAATTATTAAATAAAGATGACATTTTTCTACATGTAATAGGATAAAAAATATTTTAGTCAGAACTTACCTAGATATAAGACTGAGAAATTGGTGCTGGATGCTCACCTAACGGCAACATGGGGTCCTGCCGCTTGCAGGAAAGTTGCTGATATACCTCTTTTCCTCATTTTTTTTAATTTATATAATTTTTATGTTCTGATAATTACAATTTATAGTAGTTCTTGTGATTTCATAGGCAATCTTTGTTCTGACACTAATACAGTGGAACCCCGAGTTTTGAACTTTCTTCGTTCCAGAATGCTGTGAAGTAGTTTGGAAATTAGGTGTGGGATTACTAAAACAGAAAAAAGTCATATTTGACTATACTGGCTGTTTAGAGTGACATCTAAACTGTCATAGCTTCATGCCTCTGGCAAGACAGTGACTGTGAAAAGGATGGTGAAAGTGTTTCTTTTTCGAGTCACACTGCTTCAGTGGGAGACAGCCAGTATGTTAAAAAAGTTGTTACATGTATATGTTTAGGTTCAGGGAATGCCCTGGGTTACATAGTAAAAATAATTATAATAATAATAATTTATTTCTACAAGTACATGATACAACTTATAAAGACATGTTGTAATATTCATGTCCATAATATCTTTTTGTCTTCTAAACCACTGTGAAACAGATCTATGGCAAAATCTTAATCTGTTACAACCACTTCAAGGTGTAATACTTATCAAAACATGGAAATATGTCACTCTGTTTTGACTATATTGGGTTATCATAAGTTAAATCTACATAGTGTGCTTTTTGGCTAAATTCCTCTGTTAGTATCATGTAATTGATATGAATTTGGAAAGAATAAGGCATCTTTTAACCCTTTCAGGGTCCAGAGGCCAAATTTCAAAGGGTGCACCAGTGTCCAAGAATTTAAAAAAAAAAAAAAAATTATTTTTTCTTATGAAATGGTAGAGAATCTTTTTCTGAAGGTAATAAAACAAAAAGTACAAAATTTGATGGAAAATAGACGAAATTATGCTCACGCAAATTTTGATGTGTCAACGATATTTATGAATTGGCGATTTTGCCGAATTTGACTCCCATTTTAGGCCAATTACATTATTCCAGTCAACCAAATTCTTAGCTATTTCGCTAGTATTACTTCTATTCATCGATTGAGCACAAGAAATCGCCAAGTCAACTGTTTCAACTACAAAATAAAGTGATTGGAAATTGGTAATTTGGCCAATTTAACACAAAGTTCAAAATATTTCAATTTCAAAATAGGGTCCAGAATAAACATTGTATATATTCCTGGCACTAAACTAACATTTCCTCTGCTCATTAGTTATGTTTTGAGTCTTTACAAATAAATTCCATTTTCATTTTTTATTCACATAATGAGTTTTTATTCACACCAAAAAATAGAAGATTTACTGTTATGCAATATTGTAATAATTGTATAAATATCATCACCACATTTGTGAATGTATATTAGACCCACCAGCTGGCATGTATTAGACATGTGAGGTCATTTGTTTACTATTGAACATCGACAAAAATTAAACATTTCCGCTACTTTGAGCTCAGTTTCAAGCCATTTTCATTACTAAAACCAATCAAAATCATCTCCATTTCTGTAATATGTCTTCCATTCTATCAAATGAAACCAAGAAATCACAAATACAACTATAAAAAACATATGAAAAAACACTGCAAAGTTGCTGTTTTAATCGAAAATCACAGTCTCAGTTTTTTTTCTCTCATTATACACTGTGTGCTGCAGGATTTGTTTTATGTGGTGCACACATACCACATAGATGTATTCTCTCATATCTAGGCCCAAATTTACCACTCACAGCTTATCAGAGTGAGCTGAACTCATGGCGTAGATCTACGGTTTGGACCCTGAATGTAAAGCCGTAGATCTATGGGACGGACCCTGAAAGGGTTAAGTTCCACACCCAGTTTACTGGTATGGAAGCTGGTGGTGGAACAACTGGTCTTGGTTTTATTGTTTACTAATGGTAGTTAGGCAATGTTATCTATGATGCACTATGTGGACCTGCCTGGTCTAAGATTTTTTCAAGGGCACGAAGAAGCTATAGGAAATCCAGACAGTTGTACTGAAGTAAAAAATATTGGCAGGTGGTATTTTTGAAACCATGAAAATTGTGCGTATTAGAACAGTGACACAGTCTTCACCTGCATACTAGTACAATGTACAAAGTAGGGGTTGAATTGAAATTGAGAGAGGGAAACTGGGAAGAAAACAATGGATTTGGGCAGACCAAAATGTCATCTAAGGTTTTCTTTCCAAGGTGTGGGTTTGTCAAGATTTGTTAAAGCCATGGTATCATGACTTTGTTTTTCTTTTTTCAGATATGTTCATCTGGAAAACTTGATAGCACGTTCCTACTTTGATCCACGTGAGGCTTACCCAGAAGGTGTGACAAAAGAGCGTCGAAGAGCAGCCATTGCAGCAGCACTTGCAGGAGAAGTTTCTGTTGTGCCTCCTTCACGTTTATTGGCTCTTTTGGGACAAGCCTTAAAATGGCAGCAACACCAGGGATTATTACCCCCAGGTTAGCCCAATGACTCTTAGGTTGTTTTACAAAACATGTATACTCTACATCAGTAAGATGGTGCAAGAAAACACTAATCACTTGGCCAGTAGAAGGCAGCTCTGAGCTGAAAATCTTCCCAGACCTGTCAAGGAGATAAAATCTGCGATTTTTTTTTTGTCCTGTTCTGTGGTTTACAGCCCTAAACACTCAAACTACAGAACAAAAATATCCTCTGAAAAATATGAAACACGATCTAATTCCAAATAGAAAATAGCTGAAAAATATGAAACATGATCTAATTGCAAATAGAAAATAGCCTAATGACATTTTATTTTAGCACTCTAGGAGAGAACGTTGAATAAAATCAAAACATTAACTTCTCTGATAAAGTAGTAAGCATATTTTGAAAGGAAAATCCATTGCAAGCAGTTGCACAAGAGTTTCCTGTATCAAGTATTTTAACAGAAAATCTTCAAGCCTCTACAGCTACCAGTAAATATTAGCAGATTGGTCCCAAATTGAGCTAGCATTATTTTCTCAAAGTGGAAAAAATCTTAAGGAATGGAAGCAGTAAAAATCAAAATTTCAGTTTTTTGACCAACCTACCTTATAGGTTTAACATTTCTCCATGAGTTTAATAATAATCTGATTACCTTGATATTACTGTACTTTTTTTTTTTTCCCCCATCAGGTACTCAGATTGATTTGTTCCGAGGTAAGGCAGCCATGAGAGAGCAAGAGGATGAGAAGGTTCCTACCCAACAAGCACGTTTCATACGCTTTCCCCAGAAGGCTCACGTCGAGAGTGCACATTTCAGCCCTGATGGACAATACCTTGTCACGGGAAGCTTTGATGGTATCATAGAAGTCTGGAATTTTACAACTGGTATGATGTTCCTTAAAGTTAAGCTTAAAAAGCTATGAAAAGGTATACAGGTGACCTTGACTTAAGCCTCTCACTGTTGGGACTTCCAAAACTAAGAGTGCTAACAGTGTCTGGAATTAGAAAAAAATCTTTTGAAATGATATAGAATTTTTTTCAAAGGGTAATAGCATCAAAAATACAAAATATTTGGAAAACTTAGAGAATTATGCAGGCTCAAATTTGGTTGTCTGGGTGTGATTTACACATCACTGATTTCACCCAGTTTGAGTACTGTTTTAAGCCAATTCCATTCCTTAATTCAACCACTCGATAGATTGAGAACAAGAAACCACCAGTTTACTTTATAAAGTGTACATAGTTTTGAATTTCACCCATTTTTACAAAATATTAAACAAATTCTAATTTAAAAACGGAATCCAAAATAAATGCTGTATGCATTCCATTAATTAAAGCAACCTATATTCTCTTCATTAATCATGTCCCCAGGCCTCTCCTGTACATATTATACTTGCCTTCCATTTTGAATCTATTATCACACAAAATATCAAAGCTTTGCCATATTTGTTGGATAAAATATAATCAGGAATTATTGTTATGGTTGAGGGCATCCTATAATTGAAGCAGAAATAGTAAAAACCTATAAAACAGACTGAGAGGGAGGTAGTGGAGGCCTTACCCTTCATCAAGAAAATTGTCAAAAATCAAATATTTCTGCTACTTTGAACCCTATTCCAGACTACTTACAGTTCTGGAACCAACCAAAATTAGTAGAATGTCTTCCATTCTGTCATTTGATACCAATAAAACCATAAAAGTCTCCCTAGAAAATATTTCAGTTGCAGTTTTAAACCAAACACTAGGTCAGAGGTTTGCTTCTTTTCCCATCATGCACCATATGAGGTACGATTTTTTTTCTTTTTTTTCTATGCATACTCACTGCACAGACCCATTCTGTCATGTCTAGGCCAAAATTTGCCACTTGCAGCAAAATGGAGAGCACTGTGCTTAGAATGTAGATATACATGAGCGGCACTGGTGACAGTAATGTAGATTTACATGAGTAGCACTGGTGCCAATACCATACGTAGATCTATGCAAGAGACAGTGAAAGGGTTAGGAGAGATTGATAACTCCACTCCCCTCTCTCCTTCCCTATATTTATGCACTTTTCCCCCCACCCCACTTAGAAACTGGTTACAAGTATGTTACAGGTATATTTCATGTCAGTCTAAAAGTGGGAAACTCCTGTAATTATTGTATTATTTTTTTTAGGTAAGATTCGCAAAGATTTGAAGTATCAAGAGAAAGATTCATACATGATGATGGAAGCGGCCGTTTTGAGCCTGGCGTTCAGCCGAGACTCAGAGATGCTGGCAAGCGGGTCACAAGGAGGTCAAGTCAAGGTATGTGTATATGTTTTGATTACTGCATTTTGTTTAATCAGGGTGAGTGGAAAGTTGTTGCTTTTGGGGTTTGTTATTACTGTTCTTACTGCTGAACATCGGTTTAGTGCCGATGAAGGTATTGTTGGGATGTTAGCAAAGTAACATTTATGAACAAATTCAGGAAAGCTGGTTAGCTGGTGGGAAGTACAGTGGACCCCTGGTTATTGGCCATTCCTGTTATCGGCCAACTCGGTTATAGGCCAGTTTTTCGGCTACTGGTTATCAGCCATTATTTCACTTATCAGCCGTATTGGATGCATCCCTCCGCCGGCTGGGCCAGCTTGCACATCAGTTTGGCTGTGTGTCTCAGTGCATGAGGAAGCTTCTGCTCATTCACCCAAACATTTTGCTTGTTTTTCATTGTTTTTGGTGGTTTTTTGTCAGTGCCACTGCAAAATAAGTAACCATAACTCCAAAGAAAGTTCCTAGTAAAGTTCCTGTGGCAAAGAAAGTGAGAAACACCGTGGAATTCAAGCGAGAAGTTACTGAAAAAAATTGAGTGGTGTGAGAGTGCTGGAACTTGCCAGGATGTATGGGAAAAAATAAATCTATCATCACTTCCATCCTGGCAAAGAAAGAACAAATCAAGGAAGCTGATGTTGCGAAAGGAGTAAATGTGATTACAAAACAAAGGTCACCAATAATGGAAGATATGGAAAAGTTATTGTTATTGTGGATTAAGGAAAAACGTTTAGTTGGAGACAGTGTTGTGGAGTCGATTATTTGTGAGAAGACAAGGCAGTTGCATGAGGATCTTGTGAAGAAAACTCCTGGAACAAGTGGTGCTGTTAGTGAATTTAGGGCCAGCAAAGGCTGATTTGAGATATTTAAGAAGCATAGTGGCACACACAGTGTGGTGAGGCTGCCAGTTCTGACAAAAAAGTCGCTGAAAACTTTGTAGCAGAATTTAAGGGGTACTTTAAGGCTAAAGGATTTGAACTCCAACAAGTGTTCAGTTGTGATGAAACAGGCCTGTTTTGGAAGAAAATGCCAAAGAGGGCCTACATTACACAGGAGGAAAAATCACTGCCAGGACACAAGCCTATGAAAGACAGCCAACTCTCTTGTTGTGTGCTAATGCTAATGGGGATTTCAGAGTGAAGCCTTTACTGGTGTATCACTCTGAAAATCCCAGTGTTCAAGAAGGACAATGTCATCAAAAATAAACTCTGTGTGATGTGGAAGGCAAATAATAAGGCATGAGTCACAAGGCAAATTTTCAAAGAGTGGGTTAATGATGTGTTTGGCCCAAGTGTGAAAAAATACCTCCTGGAAAAGAAATTGCCACTCAAGTGCCTCCTGGTACTGGACAATGTTCCTGCACATCCTCCAGACTTGGAAGACCAAGTGTTTAGAGACTTCAGTTTCATCACAGTGAAGTTCTTGCCTCCAAACACCACTCCTCGGGTCATTTCTAACTTCAAAAAACTAAACAAAAGCAGTGTTTCAAAAGTGCTTTGAAGTGACCTCGGACACTCAGTTGACTCTAAGAGAGTTCTGGAGGAATCACTTCACCATGCTTAATTGAATAAGCTTTATAGGCAAGGCTTGGGAGGGAGTGACTTCCAGGACTTTGAACTCTGCTTGGAGAAAATTGTGGCCAGATTGTGTCCAGGTACGTTGAATACATTAGTGATGTTTTTACCAGTTCTTAATTTAAAATAATACAAGAGAAGGCATTTAAGGACTTAAGTACTGTAATGCCATTATTGTTGCTTAGCGATTTTGTGTTGCAATTAATTTTTTTTTATTAACACATCGGCCGTCTCCCACCAAGGCAGGGTGGCCTGAAAAATAAAAAGTTTCATCATTATTCACTCCATCACTGTCTTGCCAGAGAGGTGTGCTTACACTACAGTTATAAAACTGCAACATTAACAACCCTCCTTCAGAGTGCAGGCACTGTACTTCCCATCTGTAGGACTCAAGTCTGGCCTGCCGGTTTCCCTGAATCCCTTCATAAATGTTACAATGCTCAGACTCCAACAGCACGTCAAATTCTAAAAACAATTTGTCTCCATTCGCTCCTATCTAACATGCTCACGCATGCTTGCAAACAGTCCAAGCCCCTCGCACACAAAACCTCCTTTACCCCCTCCCTCCAACCTTTCCTAGGCTGACCCCTACCCCACCTTCCCTCCACTACAGATTAATACACTCTCGAAGTCATTCTATTTCGTTCCACCCTCTCTACATGTCCAAACCACCTCAACAACCCCTCCTCAGCCCTCTGGATAATAGTTTTGGTAATCCCGCGCCTATCCCCTAATTTCCAAACTATGAATTCTCTGCATTATATTCACACCACACATTGCTCTCAGACATAACATCTCCACTGCCTCCAGCCTTCTCCTTGTTGCAACATTCACCACCCATGTTTCACACCCATATAAGAGCATTGGTATAACTATACTCTCACACATTCCCCTCTTTGCTTCCACGGACAAAGTTCTTTGTCTCCACAGACTCCTAAGTGCACCACTCACCTTTTTTCATCATCAATTCTGTGATTAAGCTCATCTTTCATAGACCCATCTGCTGACTTGTCCACTCCTAAATATCTGAATACATTTGCCTCCTCCATACTCTCTCCCTCCAATCTGATATCCAATCTTTCATCACCTAATTTTTTTTGTTATCCTCATCACCTTACTCTCTTATATTCACTTTTAATTTTCTTCTTTTTACATACCCTGCCAAACTCATCCACCAACCTCTGCAACTTCTCTTCAGAATCTCTCAAAGGCACAGTGTCATCAGCAAAGAGCAACTGTGACAACTCCCACTCTGTGTTAGTGTTACAAAAAATGCGATGTCTAATAAGCATAGAGATCTCCAGTGAATACTAGAAAGGACTGCCCCTCTAACATCCAGCCTGTTACTGGGTTTTTGTAACAAGTCATCAGTATCCTGGTCCAATTATCCATTAGAATTAATAGTAAGATTCAGTAGTGCTTCAGGATTACAACTGGTAGGCTACTAACTATAGAAATTAAAATTTAAGAAGTTTATTAATACAGTGGTCCCTTGATAATCGTAAGGCTCAATAGTCGTAATTTTCGGAAATCGTAACGTTATTTTCGTCGAAACATTGGCTCGCTAATCGTAGTTTGATTCGTGAATAGTCGTTCATCTGGGACGCGTACGCACAGCTCTGAGCTATTCCCAGCCAGTGTGCCATTGTTTACCAGTGAGCGACGGTCCCCTCACTTGTTCATATGAAATATTTCATAATACACCTACCATCCGACTTACGACCGAGTTCGGTTCCGAGAAACCGGTCGTAAGTCGAACTTTACTACTGAATATCAACAAAACATTTTTGTAATGACTTTATTTTATTGTTTTATTTTGGTATTTCATGTTTTACTTTACTTTTTATGTTGTTAGTACTGTATTTTATACTGTAAGGTTTAGAATAAACACTGTGTACAACACAAATAGTTGTTTATTTCCCAGAAATTTGGCATAAAAAACACGGTCGTAAGTCGAGTGGTTGTAAGTCGAGCAGGTCGTAAGTCGGATGGTAGGTGTATTCCATTAATTTTAGTGCTTGCAACTACTAAATAAACTACCATGGCTCCAAAGAAAGCTCCTAGTGCCAAGCCTTTGGTAAAGAAGGCGAGAAATACGATTGAATTTAAGAAAAACATCATTGAACAATATGAAAGTGGCGTGCGTGTGGCCGAACTGGCCAGGATGTACAACAAACCCCATACAACCATAGCTTCCATCGTGGCCAAGAAAAAGGAAATCAAGGAAGCTGTTGTTGCAAAGGGGGTAAATATGCTGACAAAAATGAGATCACCAGTATTCGTCAATTATTTGTGAAAAGGCTAGGCAGTTGCATGACGATCTGGTAAAGAAATTGCCTGCAATGAGTACTGATATTTGTGAATTTAAGGCCAGCAAAGGTTGGTTTGAGAGATTTAAGAACCGTAGTGGCATACACAGTGTGGTAAGGCATGGTGAGGCTGCCAGTTTGGACCAAATTGCAGCTACAAAATTCGTAAGTGAATTCAAGGAGTACATAGAGACTGAAGGACTGAAACCTGAACAAGTGTTCAATTGTGGCAAAACAGGCCTCTTTTGGAAGAAAATGCCAAAGAGGACCTACATTACCCAGGAGGAAAAGGGACTGCCAGGACACAAGCCTATGAAAGACAGGCTGACGCTCATGTTGTGCTAATGCTAGTGGGGATTTCAGAGTGAAGCCATTACTAGTGTACCATTCTGAAAATCCCAGGGTGTTCAGGAAAAACAATGTTATGAAGAGTAAATTGTGTGTGTTTTGGAAATCTAATAATAAGGCATGGGTCACGAGGGAAAATTTTCATCGAGTGGTTCAATGAAGTGTTTGGCCCTAGTGTGAAGAATTACCTCCTGGAAAAGAAATTGGATCTCAAGTGCCTCCTAGTAATGGACAATGCACCTGCTCATCCTCCAAACTTGGATGACCTAATTTTGGAGGAGTTTGGGTTCATCACAGTAAAGTTCTTGCCCCCGAATACCACTCCTCTCCTCCAGCCCATGGACCAGCAGGTCATTTCAAACTTTTTAAAAACTCTACACCAAAGCAATGTTTCAAAGGTGCTTTAATGTGACCTCAGACACTCACTTGACCTTAAGAGATTTTTGGAAAGAACACTTCAGTATCCTCCATTGCATAAGCCTTATAGGTAAGGCTTGGGAGGGAGTGACTACCAGGACTTGGAACTCTGCTTGGAGATAATTGTGGCCAGATTGTGTCCGCAAGAGGGATTTTGAAGGGTTTGTGGCTGACCCTGATGAGCCTATGACAGTTGTGAAATCTATTGTGGCACTGGGGAGTTCCATGGGGTTGGATGTGAGTTTGGAGGATGTGGAAGACTTGGTGGAAGACCACAACGAAGCGCTCACCACTGAGGAGCTGCAAGAGCTTCAGCAGGAACAGGAACAGATCGCAGCTCAGAATCTTG